GCTCAGGGGGAGAGAGGTCCAGAGTCTGGGGGCCACAGCAGCAAATGATCTGTCACCTTTGACCTTTAGCCTGGTGCTGCACAACCAGTAGGCTTTGATCACTGGACCCCAGGGATCTGCTGGGGGTGTAGGGACTAAGAAGATCACCAATGTAAGATGGTGCTTGTCCATGTAGGGCCCTACAGACCAGAACCAGGATCTTGAAATGAACCCTGAAGTTGACTGGCAGCCAGTGAAGCTGGAGGAGAAGCGGGGTGATGTGGGTGTGTTTGGAGGACTTGGTCAGAAGCCGAGCACAGGCGTTCTGAACCACCTGTAGACGGTTCAGGGAGGTTCTGCTCAGACACGTGAAAAGAGAGTTACAGTAGTCTAAGCGTGAGGAGATGAAGGTGTGGAGAACTGTCTCAAGTTCAGAGCGGGACAGAATGGGACTCAGCTTAGCAACGTTCCTGAGATGGAAGAAGGAAGAGCGAACAAGAGAACTGACATGAGAATCCAGGGTGAGAGCTGGGTCAAAGGTCACGCCAAGATTCCTGACAGAAGGTTTGGTGTGAGAAGCAAGCTGACCAAGAGAGTCTCTGACTTTGGGAACCAGCTTGTCTGGGGCACAGATGAGGATCTCAGTCTTGACTGTAGAAAGTTCCCAGGGATCCAGGTTTTAATGGAGTCTAAGCAGGTGTGTAAAAGCTGAAGCTTAGACATCTCATGGGGATTAAAGGAGATGTACAGATGGATGTCATCTGCATAAAGATGGTAGTAGATTCCTTTAAAGGAGCTTCGGATGTGCTGAAGAGGAAGTAGATAGAGGAGGAGGAGGAGGAGTAGAGGCCCCAGCACAGAACCCTGTGGGACCTCATGGATGAGGGATGTGGTGGAAGACCAAAACTTGGAGATGGTCACAGAGAAGGAAGATGTTGAGGGGGCATGCAGAGGTCTTCATAGAGTTAACTAGTTTGGTTAGCTCAGGCAAAGAAACACGAGCAAAGCTATCTAGGATGATGGGCCGGGTTGGAGTCGGGAGAGGCAGAAGTAAGGCTGAGAGAGAGATGCTAGATCTGAGCTTTTCACTTTGTCCACAGAGTAACACAGAAAGTTTTCACAGTCTGCAACAGAGTGGATGGAGGCTGTAGGAGAGACAGGAGAGACAATATTACTGATGTTGTTAAACAGCACCTTGGGGTTCCCTTTGCTCTGGGACACCAGGTTGGAGAAACAGGCAAACCTCACATCTCTGACTGCAGAGTTAAAGGATGTTCGAAGATCCTTTAGATGCAGCAGATGGACATGGAGATAAGTTTTATGATACTACAGAGTATTTGCAAGGGGCGAAATAATCTTGACTATCAATCTTAATGAAATTAAGTCAAGAGTCAGCAATGTTTTGTGCAGCAGCGACCTGTTATGGCATGACCAAATGACAAAAATCCCAAAGCATTTTATACATTACTTTATGATGCTTTAAAAAGCTGTTGATACATTCAGTATTACTCGATAATAAAAGTAAATAAAAGAAAAAAAAATCTAGTTCAATGTTTTTTCATTCAAATTCTTACAAATGTAGCGTGATGAAGGTTCTCTGATTTGTGCCAAAGGTCACATTTGCCCTGCTGGGTCAAGCTGGGTCAAACAGTACTTTTTGAATCCACAGATTAACCCAATGAGCCACGATGTCTGCTCAAGATCATAACATCACATCTGCTGTTCCGTCCCAAGAAGGACACTTCAAGCCACGATGATAATAATTACATAATATTTAATAAACTCATTGATTTTATTACTGTTTAATATAATCATCATAACATGATCACTTTGCTCATTATAAAGGTATTTTAATGACATGAAATGGATTATTATGCTTTGGGTAATAATAATAATTATTTATTATGATTAAAGATGTGTTCAGCAAAGAAGACCTTCACCTTATTCAGCTAACACAGAGTTCAGATAAACAATAACTGAATCACATGTTTTTGACGCATGTTCAAGCTTTCTTCCGGAGAGAGTGGGAGTGGTTCTGAGAGCTTTGGTAAAACTGAAACCATCACAGATTCACGTTCAGTTCTGAAATCAACATCAGCCTGAGGAGACGGGACAGCCGCCCGCTGTTCTGTCACGCCGACCAGAATAGCCAAAGAATAAACGGAACCGTAAACCAGCTAACGAAAGACTACCAGAGTCATTGATTTCTGAAGTTAAGTTAAAGACGAGAACGTTCATCTGCCAAACGCTTCATACACCGAGTGACCCAAGAAGACATCCCAGGACCGATCTGGTCGTGCTAGAGGTTTTTCTACCAACCTCGTGCCTGGAGGAAACCCATCTCCACCTGGACACTTCGGATCCAAACGGGGGTCTTCTGATTGGGTGAGGTAGACCTCGACAGAATGCGTTTGATGCCGTTTCTCTCAAAATAACTCAGTTATCCGCAAAACATCATTTTCACCCAGAACACTTTCATTCTCTCTGAAAGAACCCTTCTGAGAACTTCATTCACGGCTCCAAAACTCATCATTCTCATTTTTAGCTCCCTTCAGTCACAGGTTTGTTTTTAAACAAGTAATATCAAAACTGTTAAAGACTGTCATTAAAATTGCCATCCATGAATTGTCATTTTATAATTGTCGTTTCAAATCAATAAAAATTTCTTCATTATTAAACTTGCCTCATTATTGAAACGAAAAACTAAAAAAGGTTGCATTTCCATTTATCGAATGAAAAGAATCTTACTGAATCCTCTGTTTAATAAATAAATGTTTGCTATTAATTTAAGTATCTTAAATTAAGTATTAATCCGTAGATTAATCTTAGACCAAGCTCGTTGGTGTATGATCTTCTATCGCTTATATTAATATTTTATATTGATATATGACAGAAGCTTCATATATTAACTAGTTTGTTGAATTGAATAGCACAGTGTTAGAGCTGTGTGTGCGAGGTTTTTACCCCATTACACAAATTTAAAACAATAAACATGAATGGCTTTAGGTAGTTTCTTATAAGCATCAGCTGTTTGTCTTGTTATGCTGATATTTAGGTATTAGTTTGGGCACCGGTCTTGAATTCAAATTATATTTCTCCCAAGGTAAAGTCAAAGGTTAAAGTCCCATTAGTCATCCCACACTGGTGAAATTCATCTCTCTATTTGACCCATCCCCATGGGGAGCGGTGAGCAGCAGCTGTGGCCGCGCTCGGGAACTATTTGGTGGTTTGACCCCACAATCCAACCCTGTCTGGCCCCAAAACAATTTCTTATGTGAATCTGGTGCCCTTGAGCCTGTGAGGCTGAAACGAATATATAGGTCAAAATTGACCCTTTCTGGGCGTTATATAAATAACCAGAATTAGGGAAATACCCATGTCATGAAAGTGATGTTGACATTTCAAACAATAACCTTGCATGAGACGCTGAACTTCCAAAGACTGGAGCAATAATTTAAGATGGCAAAAGCACACTTCCGACTTTACTGAATCTGAACTAGCTGTTTGCTCATCAATCCTCTTTTGTGTAAACTCAGTATTTCCCAACAGAGGCTGCTCAAGAAGCTGTGACTGAAGTAGTAATTATGTGTAACTTTTAGGGTTGTCACGGTAACCGGTGTAGCGGTAAACCCCGGTAAAAAAGTTGACAATAATAATAACCGTCTTGTTTTAAAAAACTATATTATCTTGGTGGGTTACCGTGGCTGCGGTGTAGGCGCGGTGACCCTTACCAGCCACCGTATCATCTGCTGAAGTTGCCGGCGGCACATGCGCACTTTGTTGTTTACAACCAAAACTTTCTTGAAGCTAAAGCTGAAATAATGGCCAAAGGAGTAGACGGCGGCGCTCAGGACATTTACTATCCCTCAAAGAAGACAAAGTGGGAAGTACGGGTATGTTTTGGATATCTGAAGAATGCTGAGGGACAGCTGATAGAAGACGGCTATCCTGTTTGCAGCAGGTGCAGAAAAAGTGTCTGTGAAAGGCAGCAACGCTTCAAATCTCATGACACATCTGCGTGACCATCACCCACAACTCTACAGTCAACGCAAGGCAAGCTAACGTTAGCGTTTTAGCTAAAATGCGTGATCCGAGGATTTGGGTTGAGGGAGAATGCAACGAGTGGCTATATAAAGCAGCCGCAGCGCCGCTACCTGCATATAAACCGTGTCGCGGACACCGCCATGTTGAAATGACGCTATGCATTATGGGGCTCCCAGGGGCAGATAAGAGTTGGTCTCTCTCCGAGAATAATTATGAATTTAACAATGATTACTGCCTGATGACATTTTCTCAAATCTGCAAAGCTCACTGGACACAAACCGAGGACAATACTTTCCTGATATAGGGTTTATTACTCAAGTAAGGGTAAAAAAGTATCTGATTAGAAGGCTACTTGAGTACTGAGTATCATCTGAACTAATATTTTTAAAATGATGACATCAAACAGACAAAACATAAGAAGTTATGGGCAAATATTGGTATTTTAAAGACTAAAGGGGAAAAATGTAAACAAATAAACAACAGAATTACAAAATAACACATTTTAGGCAACATTTAGACACAAACTGAGGACAATATTTCCTGACATACAGGGTTTATTTAATTGTGTGAAAATGTAGCACGTTTAAAAAAAATACCGCGATAATACCGAAAACCGTAGTAATTTTGGTCACAATAACCGTGAGGTTAAATTTTCACACCGTGACAACCCAAGTAACTTTTCAACGAAACATGCTTCTAATCAGCCAAAAATATCAATTTCAGCTATGAAGAGACAAACTTATTCACAAGAAAGATTCTTAGACACGTCCAACATTAACTACTGGGGCTTTTCCCCACTCTTTTTAGCAGTACTGCTAAGAATGTTGTTGCTGTAATTGCCATCCAGCTTCCCGTTTGGAAGGAGTTGGAAGGAGAGAAAAGATGATCCCGCTGTGACTGAACTTCAGAGTAAGTGTGGTTGTGCAGATCCCAGAAACAACCGCAGAGTTCTACAAACAATTAGGTCAAATACTTACCCAAACTTTGACACTAGCGATAGTCGCAACTACAGGATCACACACCTGAAAAGAAGCACAATACACATATCATTAAAACCAAAATGGAAAATAATGGGTAACAAATGAGAAACTGTTTCAAGAATAAATCCATCCAGCTCAACCAGCTGCAATGTCTCCGAGTTCTGTTACAGCAGCGGTTTGAATCCATTGCTCTTTCACTTGTTTACTTTTTTTAAAAGTTAGCTTTAAAGAGCAGCTCTAACTCCTAAAGCAAAACACCAAGTTTTGACTGCAGGGGATAAAATTCAAAAATGATAATTGTGAGTGAAATTTCTATTTCTGGTGTTTTGAATGTCCTACATTCTGTTTAGATGCAGGTAAGGGTGGGGGTGGAGTGATTTTTTTTGTCTCCAGGGCCCAAAGATCTGGATTCCTCTTGCTGAGGAAAGCTTTTGTTCTGATAAATTGACAGTGTCAATTTCCCACATTGCCACACCGTGGCATATACTACAGGGAGCAGTAGTGGGAACACAGACGCTACATACGATTGGCATCACTCAGTCTGACAGTTCTTTCTTTTGCTGTTCTTTAAGGGAGGAGGGCGGGCTATTTTTCGAAATCTGAACTTCCAAGTCGAGGAAGCAGGAAGGAATAAGAATTATTACACCTACACATCCCTTCTCCCTTTGGAAAGAAGAAAATAATAAAATCCTTTGTACTCGCATCATAATTACTGGTGGGCGCTGGTTTTGGATTGTTCTACTTTTCTTCTCTTCCAAGTTGAAAACAATATTTTGAGGACATGCAGCCGACAACTGGGTCTGTTCACAACTTCACTTCAATTTCTTTTCGCTGTCTTTGTAAAAAAAAACAACAAACAAACACTGCTTGGGTCTACGCTCTCTATTTTCAGACATAGCGGCTTACGCAAGCGTCTGGTCATAGACTGAAGAAAAGACACCAAGTAAAGCCTAACGCTGGGCGTATTCTAATGGGAGAACTTTTATTTTTATTTGGTCTCACACTTAATCATAATTCAAAATCCCGTTTCATTTACAAAATCATTTTATTTACTGTTTAGCAGAAAATTTGACCTTATTATGTTTTGCGCTCGGCATAAAATCTCAGTCTTTATAGAAACACAAAAATATACAAATCTGTTTATTTCTGTGCTTCAAGAGCCCAGACGTGTTTGAATTATCGATTGATTTTAAAAACAATGATTTGATCATTTTTACTCTTGTGCTTTATTTACAAAAGGCGGTGGTGGTAGAGGAGTTAAGTTTCATAGCCGGGGGGGTTGTAGGTTTGAGCCCTGCTCACTGGTGTAGATGTTGTGCCTTTGGGAGCTCATCGCCACCTGAGTGTAAATGGATGATGGACTGTTTGGTGTTGTAAAGCGCCTTGGCGGGCTCTAGAAGAAGCCATAAAAACACAGGCTATTACCATTTTACAGATTATTTAATAAAGGGCTTGTGAGTCCTTTTGGTCTGGTTTAGCAGCTACACAGGAGTCTTGGGTAAAATACTGTTGCCACTAGGATTGTAAAAATACATCGATTCTATGATCAACATCGATACTCAGATTGGTCATTGATCTAAAATGCAAAAATTGATAGACTATATCAAACACTATTTTACTTTGAAAATTGCTTTATTTTTAAGTTCTGCTGACATGGTGTATTTTTTTCCAACAGGGTCTTTCGTTAAGCCTGTAAAGCAGGGGTATTCTATTCTGTTTTAACACACCTGATTTCAATCAGCAGGTAACTAACAGGCTTCTTCAGAGTTTGTTGAGCTGCTGCACAGGTGATTCAACCACAGAATCAAGTGTGTTGAAGCAGAGAAACTACTAAAACGTGCTGGAAACCAGCACTAGAGGCCCAGAATTGAATACCGCTGCTGTAAAGGGTCATTTTAGCACATATTGTCCAAGAAAAGTATTTTTAAAATTGAAAAAGCGGCGTTGCTGGTTGTGCAGCGCACCAGGCCTGAGATCAGTGGACTCAGTGGTCTACTTTAAAAATCTGCTGAAAACTCACCTGTTCAGGCTAACTTTTGTGCAGCCTTCATCAGCGCCTTCTCCTTGTTCTGCTCTTATTTTATCCTTACTTATTGACAGTCTGGACACTTTTAAAAACAGCTGAAGACCCAGTTATTTAAAGCTGCTTTATCTATATCTTTTATTTTCTTGTTTTTAACTTAAACTTGTAATCATTTTTCCTTTTATGGTATTTTATCATTTTAAGACTTTACGTTTCTGATTTTGATCTATTTCTGTGTTAAGAAAATTATGATTTTATGACTTAATGGTTTGTTTGGTTCTATGTGAAGCATTGTGTGATTTTCTGTTTGTGATGAGTGTTGTATAAATAAAATATACTTACTTTTTCTACCAATTTCGTATTTCCTGGGATCCACTGATAAGTCTTTCAAATTAATTTTCTCTTTTCCTTTCCTTAAATTGTAATTATAATTTTTTATCTTTTTTTTGTTCCTTTGAAGCACCTTGTGATTTTTATGTTGAGAGGTGCTATATAGAAGATTGTTGTCTTTCTTTCTTTCTCTTTCTCTCTTTTTTCTTCATAGTATCTCTTTAATTTTAAATTACTTAAGAAATGAACTTTTGCACCATACTCTAATTTCTTCAGTTTCATCTGTAAAATCATACAGTGAATCACTGATTACCTTTTCTTATTCATTTTCTCTTTCCTTATCATATTTTAATCAAAAAATTTAGTTTCCCTATTTTATATATATATATTTTTTATCAATTTTTATTTACTCATTTTTTAACTGTAATCTTCTGATCAAACTAGTAATTTACACTCCTAGTAGCCACTGTTTTGAGTTTGGCGGTCATTTGTGAGGAGGGTTCTTTGTGGACCTTTAGTTTAGTCTTCCTGTTCAGAAGCAGGAAATATATATTTAATTTAGAATAGATGAAATTGATTTGTTTAACATTCAGATCTAAAACTAATTGCAGTGTTGTAGATTTCCTTTAGGTTTATTTCCTTTTTGCAGCACTGACAGTTTGGGCTTATATTTGAACTTCAGAATGAATGGCCACATTCTGGTTGTGTTCACTCAGAATCAGGCTTTGCTGAGTTTTTAAAGGTTAAATTACCTAAATCAGTACAAAGCGGCTAAACTGTTCACATTTCAGTTTTGTAATGAGTAGTAATTTTGTGAATCTTTTTCAGGTTTCTCATTCTGTGTGAATAGAAATTCACCAAAGGGAAATAAATTTTCTAAGAAAACTGGTGCTAAAAAAAAGCGGCCCTCTGAAAGTTTTGGCACATCAGTGTTCAAAAGTATCTGCTAGCACTAAGTCTGTTTATCTAATGCCAACATGACCCATTTGTATGTCCACTCAATCACTGTGCCATCTGCCTTATGCAAAGTTAACTGAGACTGCAAGCTTGGGATCTTTTAGGAAGTATTTGTTTAACATCTTATTTACACTTAGTAGACTTGGTCACTGCAACTATTTACCTTTCTTGCCCCCCTGAAACTTCCCAAGCAAAGCCCAGAAAACTAGGGCTGCAGCTATCGAATATTTTTGTAATCGAGTACTCTATCGAATCTTTTATCGATTAATCGAGTACTCTAATTACTCTTTTGCGTTTTTAAACCATTATATCAAATAGCATGTTATAAAATATGAAAGACCTCTTGAAATGAGAAAGCAGTTGCCAGTTATTCTTCAAGTGTTATTCAAAATTAATTTTCAAAACTTCAGCACTTCAACTTTACTTCACAGTAAACAAATGCGAGCGGCTGCGGCCCAAACAGCACCAGAACCGCTCACGGCGCATGCGCAAACATGGCTCGCCAGCTGTTTCCCTATTAACACACGTCCGTTTTAATTTCTACACTTTTTTTTGTCTCACACTAACAAGGATTGTCGAAAGCATGTTTGCCGTGGTTATGTCAAGTTATACTGATCACAAAACATTTATTTACTTTCTTTCGTTTTCCTCCGCCACTCATAAACACCCGTGTCCTCCTGCAGCGATCCTGAGGGACAACGGACATCAATAACAACACAGTAAAAAGTCCGACGTGTTGTAAAAACTGCTATTTTTAGCACATTTTAAGTCCGACTTGTTGCTACCAGACGTACGGTGTGAGCTGAAACTGAGTGCTACAAATGAAAAAGTTGCACAGTGTCTGCAGAATATATAGAAATACAGGCTAAAATGCATTATCTTGTGGAGGCTCCGAGTCCGCTTGCAGAAGTGACATTTACATGTGGATGTTTCCTGGTCAGGTGCTGCAGCACGGAGGATGTGGTGTTGTGGTAGGCTAAATCCATTTTACAGTATTTACACTGGACTACGTTTTCCGCCTTACGACGTGAAAAATGGTCCCACATCTTTGACATTTTGTGTCTTTTTCGCACTCCGCTGGGGTCCACGTTGCTTAAAAGAAAGTTAAGTTGCGTTCACTACTCGCGTGTGCATTCAGTGCAGTGTGTATGTGCGTCACTCATTTTGGTCCGGGTGAAACATGACCCCGGGCGATTGCAAAGCCATGAATTAATTAAACATGAATTAAACAAAGCTTCGAGGCAGAGAATTTGACTCGAGGATTTTTTGTACTCGAATTATTCGAGGTACTCGAGGAATCGTTTCAGCCCTACAGAAAACTTAACAAACATTACTACAAACACAATAAATAAATGTTAAAGTTATTTCATCTGATCTGAGCTGTGAATATTTTCCACAGAAGACATGATATTACAGTTTTATTTCGTATAATAATTGGTCATTATTTGATCGGTCTTGCTTCATTGAGACTGAGGTGTACTTATCTAAGCAATCATAACCGATGAAAACCTCAGCCGTGGTAAGCATGACCCATTGAACTGAATCAGAGTATCAAGAAAATGTTTAAGCAGAAATCTCTAACATTCAAGTTTTTTCTTGTAAACTGTGGTTTCCACAAATACATTTTAACTTGAAAGAATATTCCACCACTCAGTAAAACTGTGTCTTGTTAAGATTCCCCAGAGTTAGACGAGTCAGAAAAAGTATTTTATAACCAGCCCAACATGATCTG